AGAAGAGGTAACAGTCCCCAGCTTGTTCACCGGACCTAGCAGCCTCTAATTACCACCTGATTTGGTCCTTACTGCGTCCTTTAGAGAGCGAGAATTCTGAGAATTAACGTATACTTGAAAATAAGGTCTACCTCTTCTTTTCTTTAATTGTCGCATTTCTAGAAGAGTTCAGTCGAAAAGCTATGCGAAAGTGGGAACATGTCCTAATTATTGATGGTGATACCTTGCAGATTGGAGGTCGTTTAGTATAGGAAATTCTGGTTTAAAATTTAGAACGGAGTGCTGCAGAAATTTTTTTTCAACATAGTAGAACAACAGCACAGCACTTCTTCCTCGAACCCCACGCGAACTTCTGAACTTCAAGGAAAAAAGAAATGAGGAATTCTGAATAATTTCGTTGCAAAATCATTCTCAAGAATTAGAATTCCTTCCTATAGGAAAGAATGACGTGTAGCTATCATGTTTCTCACAACTCACGTCACATTCTTCTTTTCATACTGGCAAATACAGTATTCGAATGGAATCGGAAGCGTTTGACAGTTCCTTGGACCTTCCCACTTCCGCAGCAACGACGATCCTTTGCTATGAGGGAGCATCATGCGCTTCGTTGTGTCCAAGAAATTCGCCTTTGGTTGGTACTAAAATGTCGTCCATTATTGGGCGATCGATAAATGGCTCAAAAATCAGTGATAAGACACGAAAATAGTGTTGACAGGCGTATAGCACATTTTAACAGGTGGAATTTACATGTAAGAAGTCAACCAATGTCGCGTGAAGATCGAAATGAGTCATAAGCTGCATGGCTTTGGTTCGGAGTTCCTTATGTACTTTGGTGTTTCGCATCATTTTCGGAAGAGCTACCAGGAGAAAAGGATTCCGGTTCTCATATCGCCCAAGATGAACAGTTTCGATCTGGAAGTGATGGAGTTATTGTGGGAATATGGAGATTATGCGATGAATATGCGGAAATTAGATTGTTATAGAGAAGAATAAGAAACATATATGATGTACAGTGCGAAGGGACGAAACAATAACTCGAAATTGAAATGCAAGACGTGAAAAAGTAGTGATAACTTCCATACAACCGTTTCGACATTTCGTCACCTTCAACCACGGAAGCTAAACAAAGAAAGCTGACTTACCCCTGAAAAGCGAGGCCCATGATCTCCCATGAAAAAAAGTAATGAGTTGTCGAGATGCCTTCTATTTCTGCTGAAGAAGTCCAGAAAGTGATTATCCGTGTGGTAGAGTGCAGTTACCCCATCATGGGTCAATTCAGTGAACCAAACTACTGCCGTTTTTGGTGCACCTTAAATACGGAATTATCCTACTATGTATAATGGGCTAATTAAATCTGTGTGTGTCCGTGCGTCTGTGTGTCACGAAATTCATAGCGCCTGTCCCAGTAACAGAGAGATTTTGCTTCCAAGAAACGATGTAGGTGGTGTGACGGAGCATCATTCGTGGCTGATAAGAAGTGGTATTCGTTGAAAGGGGAGGGTTAGTGATTCTACAACAGGGGTCACAGAAATAGTGGGACGTTATTTCCGAGGTTTAATATAGAGGGTGGAACAGGAGCACTACTGGTGGATACAAGAGCTCTAATCAGCCGATAAGATTTGATAGGAGGCGTTTAGGGTGAGATCACCTTGTTCACAGCACAGGCACGTGTTCATTCCAGCAAGCGATATAGAGAGTGAGATGGGCACACTGACGGTGGGTGACAGAAAGTGATAATTAGCGATAGGCGCTGATAAGGGACGTTACCGTCATCGTCCTCGTTGAAGATGGTGGAGCTTTTCCATTACCAAATTATAAAGGTCCAGGGATAGGGATTGCTGACGGGTGACAGGTAATAATATAGAACGATGAAAACCGATAAAAGGTTGCCTTTCTACATTTCTTACCACTATACTGCCACGTATTCAACTATCAGAGGCTCAGCAGTCAGTAAATTATTCCCTCTAGCCATCACGTTCCTGATAGCAACGAAAAATTTTGCATTTTGGGGACCCTCCCCTCTGCTTCCTTATCCTGCACGTGCTCAGCCGAGCATGAGCATGTGCAGGTGAAGGAAGCAGAGGGAAGGGGGTACGGTGAGGAGGGGGAGGGGGGTGGGGGGGGGGGGGGGGGTGTGGCGCACGCTTGAGTAGAATGATAGTAGGAGTGGAGGATAC